CAAATGCTCACCCACACGTGATCAGGGCACTGGCATAATTCTCACCCCACTTTGAGAAGAAAACTAACAGCAGAAGCAAGCATGGCTGATAGGCAAACCCACTATGGGAACATAGCAAAACCGACTGAAAACAATCACCACCACAACTCCAAAACCTTAGAGAAAAAACAAGCAAAAGTGGCACCAAGTGAACTACAGAGATATTAGTGACAAGGGTAGGGACAGAAAGAAAATAAGAGGAATAGTAGTGGAGAACAGTGTTGGGGAAAAAAGAGAAGAAGAAAAGGAAAAGGAAATAGGAGGGGAGAACGAGAAAGAAGAAGGTGTGGGGAGCGGATTAAAGCCTATGAGAACTGGACACAAGCAAGGCGAGATGCAGTCGATTGCTTTTACCTGTGGGCCGAGATAGGCACAGCCCTCGGCTGCCACGAAACAGGAAAAGGCAGAACAGCTGCATCCCCTAAGTTGTGTTCGGAGAAGCAGGAACACAAGTTTCTCCTGTTATAGTGTCACGCCCCTCCCTGTGGCTCCACCTGTTTGCTGCTGTAAAAGACCCTGAAGGAGGAAGAGGGGCCTTTGCCTTTGGTGCTTTACTTTGGGCTTTTGGGCTTTTTGCCTTTGAGTATTGGGAGGAAGATTTTACTTTGGGCCTTTTGGTGTGGGAAGCTTTTGGAAGGGAAAAGAATTGTTGAAGGGAAAATGCTAGAGAGGGGTTGATAGAAAGTCTGCACGGAGAACTTTAACATAGGCTTCAGAAAGCAAAGCTCAGAAAGAACTTCATACATCGGCCTTAGGAAAGCTAAGCTAAAGAAAAGCCAAAGAGAACCTGGGACAAGCACAGTGCAAGTCTAGGGACCGAGACCTCAGGAGTTAGGCATATGCAGGTTGTAGTCATGGCTGTTTGCAAGTTTGAGCACCGAGGCTTTAAGAAAGCTAAAGGGAGAATGCTAAAGAAAAAGTGCAAGCCTGTGGGGCAAAAGACGTCAAGAGCAGTTAAGCTAAAGATAAGCTGAGAGCAAACATGGGACAGTGTGAGCCAAAGAAAAGAGATTTTAAGCAAGGTTTTAAAGAACCCTAAAGGAGTAAGGCTTTAAAGAATCAAGATAGAGAAAAGAAGCAATGAGGGTTGTGTGTCTCCAGCTAAACGTACAACACACCTGAGCCCAAATTTCTGTCTGTCCTGTGTCTTTTCTGAATCTCCAGTCGCCCCCAGTTAGGTCCAGTAATAACCAAGGAGTGAGAGAGAAAACCTCACTCCAGCAAGGGAGGGAGCATGGGAAACAGCTCCCCCTTCAAGAAGGGGAACATTAGGGCAGATGCAGCTAACAGTAAAGTGAGAAAGAAAAAAAAAACAGAAAACATACGACCAAACATAGTAAAATTAAAGAACTGAAGACAGAGAATAAGAACAGTAGACAGAGGCTATTGTGTAACTTTTGACAAGTTGTTTATGCCTCCGTTTCCCCATCTATGCTTTCTGGTGGGGTTGCCGTTGTGAGTAAACGGCAGCATTTGTGGAGTCATCAAGAACAGTATCTCACATGAGGAATCATGAGTGAGAGACTGCTGTGACGTTTTGTTTTTCTGCACTCAATGAGCTTGGAACTCCAACACGATCTTTCAGTGCTCACCCAACCCAAGATGCAGGCACCATTACTGTTTCTGTTTCCCAGAAACATTCTACTACGTCCTTGAATGACAGTTTGGCTGCACAAAACACCGTTCTTCCCTGTTTTCTTTTAATTTTTAGTTTTCGGAGGCACTGGAGTTTGAACTCCGGGTCTTATATTTGGTAGGCAGGTGGTCTATCCCTTGAGCCATGCCCCAGCCCATTTTGCTTTTGTTGTGTTTTGGATAGGGTTTCATGTCTTCCTCCCCGCCCCAAGGCTTGTGTAGACTTTGATCCTCCTACCTATGCATATAGCTGGGATTCCAGCTATATACTACCATGCCTGGATAATTTGTTGAGATGGGGTCTTGTTAATTGTTTTCCCAGGCTGGTCTTGAATTTCTATCCTCCCGATCTCTGCCTCTTGAGTACCTGAGATTACAGGCCTCGGCCACCACATCCAGCTTCTGATTTTCAATGTTGTGTGCATCTGGGGTCCCCCTGAATTTTTCCTTTTGAGAGACTTGTTTTTTGTGCCTAGATACATATACAGTGTTTCCCTCATCTTAAAAGTTTTTAGTCAGGTGAACTTATTCTCTTTCAGTGTTTTCGGTCAGCTGAATTCCTCTCTTTCCTTAAAAAGTTACTGGGAATGGAGGCATGTGTTTTGCTTTGACCAAAAAATAATAATAATAATAATAATAATAATGAGGAGGAGATGCCAGGCTGCATACATACACACGGTATTTTGAGTCGCCATGGCTTTTCTCCTCCCCCCCCCAGTTGTTGATGGTTAATTTGGATCACTCTGAAATCTATTTTGTAAAAGGAATTTCTAAAAGACCATTGAAAACCAACTCAAAGCATCCAGCAAACCCAGGACACGTTGAGTTTGACCTCCATTTGTACTGCCGGGAGTCAGGGTGATCGCCCCTGTCCCCTCCTCTCCGGAGTCTCAACCACCAAGACGTAGTATCCCAACTAGAGTGACAATGTCTACTTCTTGCTAAAACAAACTAAAGAATGTTAAAAGTTTTATTACAAAGAAGAAAAGAGGCAAAAAATGAACAACCGTAAACGTAGGATATGCGTGTTCAGAAGATGACATTTTAACAGTGTCAAGTGAAAAGTAAGAGCTTCCTTCTGGCCCCTGGCCCTTGTAGCTGCTCCAGAAAAATTTGCACACAGCGTGCGACAGCCAAACGCTCTACATATAAATGGCCTTTGCGTTTAGACAGAGAGCACAAGGTCCGTGTACCCCATGCTTCTTTCATTTAGTGGTCCCCAAGGTCACTATTCCTCCTCGATTCCAACTCAGCTCCATTTTATTACCTTGTGTAAATGACTCCTCTCATAGTGGACCAGTTCTACCGAGAGAGGTAAAGAGAGAAAAGCATTAATCTACAGACCTCACCCCAATACTGCTGCACTGGGGGAGCTGAGCAAACCCTCTCACGGAACACGAGGACAGACAATAATTTCCACACAATAAACGAGGTGTTTGTTGACATTTCTTCATGAGACTCGTCTATACCAGTGGTGCTTTTTGCTACTGACCGGGGACATGCATTGTGGACACCTGTCATGAAATCTTGCTGGGGACAGAAGGTTGGGACTTCGTGGGGCCCTTACAGCCCTGTCCTTCTGAGTTTTGGAACTGTACCTGAAACACCCCAAGTTCTCAAGTTGTCCCCCAGACAATGTCTGATGTCACTGACGTCAATCAAGGTTATGAAGTGGTTCACATCCTAGTCCCGCCTTAGATGCAGGGTGAACTCAGATATCACAGTCCTTGAGAAAGTTTTCAAGAAATAAGCCTGTTGAACATGACTGGACTCAAAGTTTTGCAAACTTACTCTCTCACTGAGCGCTTTCTCATCGGTCAACTAACCAGCATCCCGTGATACAGAGCGCTGCTCAGACTGTCTTAAATATGTCTGTGCCCACTGAATCTATTTTTAAACAGCGCTTACAAGGATCAGAAATTTTTCTCTTATTTTACACGTCAAAATGGCCTTTTTATTATATTATTGTTGTGCTGGGGTACACGTGACATTTACAAAAGTTCTTATTGTTGAATTCACCCCCTCCATCATTCTCCTTTATCCTCCTTCCCCATTCCTGGAATAGTTTCACCAGGTCTCATTTTTCCATTTTCATACATGAGTGCATAATATTCCACCATATTCACCCCCCTACATACACCCTTTCCTTATATCCTCCCCTCCCACTACTGCCAATCCCAGACAGGACCTGTTTTACCTTGCTGTTCTGTTTTTGAAAAAAAGACATTTTAATTTGAGATAGCTCTACAGGGTAAGAAACATTTTCTGCAAAGGGCTGGAGACTAAATATTTTATGCTTTCCAGGCCAAACAGTCTTTTTCATAAATTCTCAGCTCATCACGCAGCAGAAAAGCAGCTGTAGGGAACGGGCAGACAGCGGTGTGCTATCTCCCAGTAAGACTTCAGACCTAGGCACTAAAATCTGAATTTTATTTAGTCTTCAGACATCACAAAATATCCTTTTGTTTACCAGCAATTTAAAACTGTAAGAATTCTTGGCTGTACAAACACAGGCAGGCAAGTGTTGGTTGCAAGCCATAGTTTGATGATCTTTAACAGATAATAATTCACAATAAGAAATTAATGCTTCATCCAGCAACACCTGTATAGTTTGAAGAAGACTCAGAAGCTTAGTGCATTTATGTTGTAAGTATAAGGAATATTAAAACTTCTTGCACTTGAATCCTGCAATTTTGCACTGAAGCAGAGATGGTTTAACCCTGCTCTGCCTGTTATAAACCATATGCTCATCAAGATTTGTTGAATAAATATTGGTGAAAATATCCTCGTTGTAAAAAAAAAATCAGATTAGAAATATCTCTACACGATGTTTCGTCTAGTCCTAAATTTTAAAAAAGTCTTTTGTGCCGGGCGCTGGTGACTCACACCAGTTGCAATCCTAGCTATTCAGGAGGCAGAGATCAGGAGGATCACAGTTCAAAGCCAGCTCAGGCAAATAGTTCTCAAGACCCTAGCTCAAAAAAAATGCATCCCAAAAAAGTAGCACCTGCCACTAGCAAGTGGTAGAGCACCTGCCTAGCAAGCATAAGGCCCTGAGTTCAAACCCCAGTACAACCATAAAAAAAAAAAAAAACCCTTTTGTAATGTCTTGCTCTGATCTCAGCACAGGAGTTGGGTTTTTACAAGCTGTGCTTACCACTGATACTGTGAATAAGATTTGAAAATGTGCTAGCTGTGTCCACAAAACCACAAATTCTGTCTGAATCCAGCTGTTGCCTTTCCTTTCTTGACTCCTTGTCACTACGCTGTTATGGCCTGTCTGTCATGACCACGGTGACCCCTCTCCTGGCTCCCTGGTTTTCCAGGTTCATTCCCGAGCCCTGGTCGGCCTGCAGTGCCACCTGTGGGCCGGGCGTCCAGGTGCGCGAGGTGAAGTGCTGCGTGCTCCTGACCTTCACACAGACGGAGACGGAGCTCCCGGAGGAGGAGTGTGAAGGCCCCAAGCCGCCCACCGAGCGGCCGTGCATCCTGCAGCCCTGTGACCACAGCCCTGTGTCCCCGGCACTGGACAGCTCTCTGCAGGAGGAGGACAGCGACACCACTTATGACTGGGAGTACGCTGGCTTTACCCCGTGCACAGCAACCTGTCTGGGAGGTATTTGAACCTTTGCTCTAGGGGCAGGTGGGTGGCCATTGCTGACGGAAATTGCCAAGTTGGGTGAGCCAAGCATGCAAATTAGCAAAAGTCTAAAGGAGCAGAATTCATTCCGTAAGTGAAAGTGTTGGCCTTTTCTGTCTTTTATGTTTGGGAGTCATTGCTTTAGAAAGGCAAAGACAGTGGGATCATATCCTGATCAAGACGTTCCGTTAACTGGGATGTGAGTGACTCCTGGGCCATCTGGAGTAAGTAGGAACACGTAGCGTGGCTCTGTGGAGGCCGTCCTGTGTGGACATCAGTTTCACAGACTGTCACTGCCTGGCATTGCTGCGCTGACACCCCTGTTGGCCACTTGTCACCTTTGGACGGTGTGTAGGTTCACACCTGCACGTCAGTCAGCAACCAATGCAGAAGAAATGAACCACCACAATTTGGGTTGGTTTTATAGGTGACACACATAGTCAGGAAATTGTTAGGGTTAGCATGTGGTTGTGTCGCCAGGTGACCCCACCGGGGTGAGAAGTTGGTCCTAGGATGAGGGAAGCATTTTAGGATCCAGAAGGAAGCAGGGACGAGGAGTCCAGGTGACCATTCTCTGTGGCTCTCTATAGAAATAACCAACAGGAGTCTGGGTGTGGTGGATCACAGCCGAAAGCCTGACAATAAGATGAAATTACATGACCAATTTTTATTTATTTCATATATTTCAAGACTGACAGCTGACAGAGAATGGACCAGAGACAGAAGAACAGATACGAGGGTGACCCATAGTCCAGGCAAGAGCTTGGACTGAACTGGGGATGATGGTGGAGGGCAGGGAGCAGAGGAGCCTGGGAGAGGTCGAGGTGAAGAACCGAGTCCCTGGCTTTGTTCCTGAGGTGCTGAGTTCTAAACAGAAGTCCAGTTTGGCAAGAGAAGTGATGAGTTTGCCTGTGGCTATGATGATCTCGAGGAGATGTAGACGTCCAAATGGGGATGTGACAGTCACATGTGTGCATCTGAAGCAAAGTGGAGCCACCTAAACTGGAAGTAAATGGTCCCCGAGCTGTCTGTGCTTGGAGGGACACAAGCCCGGGTGTTGCTGAGGATTTTCAGGAACGGATTTCCTGTGTGGAGTGGGGAGGTCTAAGTCCTGAGGAAATTCGGAGTTTGATGACTGAGTGGATGACACAGAGCTGCAAATGTCCTCTCAGAGACAGGGTCAGAGACAGGAGGAAGACAGAACGGTGTGATGAGGTAGAAACCAACGTCAGCCGGCTTCGTGCCTCTCGGAGATGTGACGTGGGTTCAGCAATGCAAAGCCACAGGTGGCCTAAGAAACGGTCATTTCACTAGAATAGAGGACCTGGAGGCCAGACTTGAGAGCGTCAAGGAGTGAGTGACAGGTGACAAAATAGAGATTGGTAGGGGAGATTTGCTTGTGACCACGATAGAGAAGACAGGAGGTGACTGGGTTGAGGGGTCCTGTGTGTGTGTTCACGTGTGTGTGTGCGTGCAGTGTTATTTACTGACAGAGCATCGGCTACTTGTTTGAGAAAGCCCCAGAATGAAGGTAAATGGCGATGTGGTCAGTAGCTGTCCTGGGAAGGGGAGGAGTGGAACCCGGCACAGTGTGGACATCCGCCTTCCTAGTTGGGGAGACAGCTCCCAGCTAGGATGGAGATGAGAGTTGTGTGCTTGTGGCGGAATTTCTTACCTCCTTTTGCTGCGTTTTGTGCACACCTGTTTGTTGAGGGCGATTTGACAAGTGAGAAGAAGACAGGTTCTGAGGTCCTGCTGTAGAATTTTTATGGTAGTGCTGACTGCGATGGGCTAGCATTTCAGTTCAGATTTTTTGCATGTATATGAGTGATATTGACTTGTGCAAGAATACTTGATTCCATAAAGACTGAATTGGCTCACCTTGACCAGGACTCAGTTTTGCATGGTTCCTGTGGAGACAGGTCCTGACATGAACCCTGGCAGTTGCTGTTTTGTTCTCTCTGAATCCTTTAAATCACGACAGGTTTCGAGCTGTGTTTTTCTCCAGCTACTCTTGTTTTGTTTTTTTAGTGCTTCCCCAGCTACTCCTGGTGTAATTGGTCACTTCCTCTCAGACCCTGGTGATCTCTGTGGTGCCCCTTGTAAGACCAAATGGCTTTTAACAATCCCTGGTCTTTATCAGCTATCATCTCAACTAAAAAGACCTCACCTGGGCTGGTGGGGTGGCTCAGGTGGTAGAGCCCCTGCCTAGCAAGCGTGAGGCCTGAGTTCAAACCCTAGTATGGGAAAAAAATAAATCCATAAAAACTCAAAACCGATGCCTGGAGATTTCAGGCTGCATCCTGCTGTGTCAGGGGTGGGTCTTATAGCCAAAGACAGCAGGAGAAAAGTTGCTGGAAAGAACTGAGCGTCACAAGTACATATTTTATTTTATATGTGTTTTTGGCCTATGCTACATTTTGCAAAACACTAAAACGGTTGAATTGAAACATGGCATTCGAAAAAAGAACCACAGCCATGTAGCATGATGGAATGCTCATTCTGACACGAATCTGAACACATCTGCAGGCTTCAAATAGTCAGTTGCTGTCATGGTTTTTCTTTTGTTTTTGTCAAAAGTTTGATTTATAGTTCATTCAACTCTGACTCCCCAATAATTCTTTTTTGTTTCAACAAACAAAGGATAGTGGTTGAGGGTGTGGGCTGGGACTCAGATGGACTTGTCTGGCCTGGGGACACTCACGTTTGAGCAAGGAGCCATCACTGTGCTTAGAGGCCATTCGGCATTTTGGAATCTCCGGAGTGCAAACGAAAGACCACTGAACCAGGAGCAGGGAGTGTAATTTCAGTTCTGAATCTGCCACATCTTGCTATCTCACGAAACTTTAGGCTCCTTATTACTAAAGTAATGAAATGAAGATAGGATTTTTTTTTTTTTTTGCAGTACTGGGGCTTTGAACTCAGGGCTCCACCTTGAGCCACTCCACCAGCCCTTTTTAGTGATGGGTTTTTTTTTTTTTTTTGAGATAGGGTCTCATGAACTATTTACCTGGGCTGGCTTTGAACTGCAATCCTCCTGATCGCTGCCACCTGAGTAGCGAGGATTACAGTCCCACTGGTCACTGGCCACTGGTGCCCAGCTAGAATATTCTTTTGACCTCATGAGATTATTGTGGGCTCAGATAATATATTTGAAGGCACTTTATACACTTTCTGAATGGAAGGTATCACAACAGAAACATCACAGATCATAGTAATAGTGAAGGGAGCTCAGTCCATAATGACAGGTTTTTACAGTTACACGTGGCGGGGAGACAGGTATGCAGGACCCTACAGAAAATGTTACTCTTTGGAGAATTCCTCAGGGGAACTGTCAGAGCTGATGGGCGGGAAGGAACACCTGCCCTTAGCATTTTTTCTCTTTCCACCCTCCAGGCCGTCAAGAAGCCATAGCAGTGTGTCTGCACATCCAGACCCGGCAGACGGTCAATGACAGCTTCTGTGACACAGCCCACCGTCCTCCAGCAATGAGCCAGGCCTGTAACACGGAGCCCTGCCCACCCAGGTATGTGCTCCCAGGAACACCGCATCAGGACAGTTACACCGTCCCCTGCCAAGAAGCCCAGCTGTGGACAGAGACCTGTAGGCTCACCCCAGGTAGACCCGTTGTACCTGCGTCAAGCAGTTATTCTTCAGCCCCACTTCCGGGGAGGGACGACTGTGTCCAGGAGCAGTGCTGCACGTATTTCCAGACCCTTTTATCCTTGGAGCTCGTGCTCGTGCTAAGTGCATAAACCTTAGTAACCCAAATTACTTATCTTGTCTTCTCAGTTTTTAAATGTCTTTTCTTCCTGGAAGCACCGGAAAAGATATTTCTGGGGAAAGCCAGGCTTTCTGTCTGTCCCCTGCTGTGTCTCTGAAGACAAAGTGGATGATGACCTGTCCCCTTGGGTTGGATGTGGTTTGTCCTGCAAGGGACCAGGTGTGGGAGGCTTGGTCCCCAGGGTGGCAGTGAGAGGTGGTGAGGAGAATGAAGGGGTGGAGCTGGGGGTGGGTGGGGGGCTTCAACCTTGCAGGAACTGCTCTGGGAGGGAGAAGAGTTTTCTCGTGACCCCTTGGTGGAGGGTTGGTGTAAAAGCCTGAGCCGGGCCCCGCCAGCCCTCTGTGCGGACACTTGCTCCTGCGTGAGAGCCTCCACTGTTGTCACCTGCCATGATGTGACATAGCCAAGAGGGCCCTCACCAGAGCTGAGCCAGTGTCAGCTCCATGCCCTGGAACCTCCAAAACTGTGAGTCAAAGACACGTCTTTTTTTTGAGGAGTGGAATTTAGAGTTTGAACTCAGGACTTTATACTTTCCAGGCAGGAGCTCTCCCCCTTGAGCCACACTCCCAGCCCTTTTTGCTTGAAGTTATTTCTCAAATAGGGTCTCACATTCATGCATTCAGATCCTCCTACTTATGCCTCCTGTGTAGCTGGGATGACAGGTATGTGCTGCCATGCCCACCTTTTATTTGTTAAGATGGGGTCTCACAAACATTTTACCTGGGCTGGACTCAAACTACAGTCCTCTGGATCTGTGTCTACTTTGAAGCTGGGATTATAGGTGTGAGCCACTACACCCAGCTGCCTCTTTTCTTTATAAAGTGAGCCTGATTGGGATTTTCATCACAGTGGTGAACAGGTGAACAGGATGAGGAACAGGAGAAATACCATCGAAGAGAAACAGGATCGCTTCTCTTCTTTCTTCCCCATGAAAGCGGAAGGCGTGCCACATTGTTTCGTAAACTGTTGTCACAGACTTGGGAGGGGACTTGAGGCAGATGCTGAAGGGAAGTGCAAATATAACTTAAATGCTAAGAAATGCCTCAGGGCTGCGTGTGTTGGCACAGGAGCAGGGTTGGGGCGGGTGGTCAGAGAAGCCGCCCCGGGGAAGCGAGGTGGGAGGGAATGGCCAGGAGAGGTGCAGAGGACGGAGGGAGGGCGATGGCAGAGGGAACTGAATGTGCAAAGGCCCTGGGGAGTGAAAGACATCCACGTGTTCAAGAAACAGAGTCGAAATCCATGTGTCCTGAGATGAGACCGGACACGGGCAGGGGCCCTGGCAAGCATTTGCACTTGACCTAGAAAGTCCTGGGAATCCTCTGGCGGGCTTGAGCAGTGAAGTGAAAAATCATGTTTTTGAAGATTATTCAAAACCCATAAAAGGAGGGGAACAAAGGTACAGATAATGAGGCCAATTACATTTTTTAAATTACTTTCAACAAGGTACCCAGCCCACCACGGTTCATTGAGCGTCCCCTGTTTAAAACCTGCCTCCTTGTGAACCTGAAAATCTCAACCCTGCCTCGTGACTGTTTAAAGTGACACCAAAACTATTCTTTTCAAAAATAATTGAATCTGTATCTTTTCTTGCAGCCACGGGTGCCATTGAGTCCTCATTGTGTTTTCTAGAAAAACTCCGAGCAGCACACGCTTTCCAAGCTGTGCCCCAGGCTCTGCACAGGCGTTTTAAGGGTTTTACAAGACGTAAATCCTTTTCCATGTAATTTAAAATTTGAAAGCAGTGGAGTTAAGCAGTTTGTCATGCCAGGTGTTCTGTTACACAGAAGTTTTCGTGTCACTCCCCTAAGTAGTCTCTGCCCAGTGAGAAGAAGCCAGTACAATTCCTATTAGTGACACGTCTTTCAGAACCGTGGAATAAATAAATAAGAAATGCTCGTGGTTTCTGTATATGACAACTGAGTTTTAGGGTTCAGGTGGTTGGCGACTCGCCCACGCACACTCAGGAACCAAATCGTGTGTTTGAATGTCAGACTAACGTGGAGCGATTCCCGTGAAATGACGGCCACACGGCAGGGCTGGTCTCTGATCTCCAGCCCTCCCTCCATCCTCTTTCTGCCACCGCTGTCTCTCTGGAAAGATGACTACAAAGGGAAAGGCTTGGAACTTGCAGGCTTCAAATGGTGACAAAATGCTCAATGACATTACCAAAGAAAAAATAAATCTCCAGATTTAAATCCTGTTCCCGAGCTCTGTCCTGTGCTTCTAGCCCAACCCACTGGCCAACGAGGACACAGGCAAAGGTGACAGGTAAGACACGAGGGCACGTGAGGGCTGGAGCACTGGCAGGACTGGAAGAGGCCATGAGCGTGTGGACGGGACTCAATTCTGTTTCCCTAAAAGAAGCCCTGCTGTGCTCTCACCACGAAAGTGAAGGCAAAATATTGTCATATACTTTTTCAGAAAAAAATGCAAAACAATTCACAGCTCCTGCTTTGTGCACTTAAAAACTAGCACGTGGAGACACTGTGGTAACCGAAGTCATGTCTTCACGTCTCAGAATTTCTAAGTCAGGTTTTTCAGGGGAAGCCCAATTCGAGCATCTTCTCAGCCTTATCATGAAGTTTGAGTCCTTTCTGAGAGAGACCCACAGTATTTCATGGATCACCAAGGTCTCTTGAGCCCCTTCCTTCTTCCCTCCCTCCATCCTTCCTTCCATCTTCTCTCTCCTTCCTCCTTCCTCCCTTCCTTTCCTCCTTCCTTTCCTTCCATCCTTCCTACCTTCTTTCCCTCTCTCCATTCTTTCGCAGTGCTGGGGATCAAACCCAGGGCCTCGTGAATGCTAGGCAAGCTCTCCAGCACTGAGCCGCACTGCGGTTCGTTTTTGAGTTGTGTTTCCGTTGTCATCACTCTGAGCTGTCCTCTTGTCATGTCTTCACACGAGTATGGGGACCCAGCTTGCACTATGGTTAGTTCCTGATGAATGCATCGTGAGCTAGAAAGATCTTAAATTCTGCGCCCTAACCACAGAGCTTGGCCACCATGCACTGTGGTGTTGGCTCTTCCCCTGTGATCGAGGGGCCGAAGGGCTCAGCTCAGGGTCGTGGATGGCGTGGAGGGAGAGACCCATTCGCCTAGCGCTAGCCCAGAAGTGTAGCTTCTACAGAATGTGTGTCCTTTTCCTATCATCCGAAAGCCAAAACGTTGCACAGTGGCTCACACCTGTAATCCCATCTACTCCAGAAGCAGTAATGGGGAGGACTGAGCCTCAAGGGCAGCTGAGTGAAAAAGTTCATGAGAACCCCATCTCAACCAAGCAGGCAGGGCATGGTGGCCTGTGCCTGTTGTCTCCTACACAGGAAACTGGAGGTAGGAGGATCTCCACCCAAGCCAACTTGGGCAAAAGAATGAGACCCCATCTCAACAAATAAGCTGTGCACAGTGGCATGGGCTGTGGTCTCAGCTGTGCAAGAAGCCTGGGTAGAAAGAGCTCCAAGTCTGGCTCAAGCATAAGTGAGAAAAATAAAGCAAAAGGAGCTGGGGCCTGACTCAAGTGGAGAGTGCCTGCCTTGCAAGCAGAGAGCCCTGAAGTCAAACCCCAATACCGACAAAAAAAACGGTCAGCCTGAACCTCTTGAGGTGGACACGGTCTGCAGTGTGACACGGTCAGGGTTTGCTCTAGACCTTTGCTTCACCCGCCCAGGAGGTGAGGCAGGCTGAGCAAGGGTGCAGCTCCTCCCTCGACTGACAGCAGGTCTGGACCGTGTCTAGGCCGTCAGCCCCACACAGCGTCCATCGCTCCTTCCCTGCTGGCCCTGCCAGGAGCTCACACAGGGCCTCCGGGGCCCCCGCGCCCCCAGAGCAAGTGGGGAGCAGCACAGCGGCATCAATCCCGGCCACCTTGCCAAGTATGAGCGTTTCTGGGAAAGGAAGCATGACTCCATCTCAGAGTCACAAATCTAATCACCGCTGCAGAGACTGGGAGTTATGTTGGGAAAAACCCAGGAGAGACAAGGGTTCGATGCCAAAATAAAGGTAAGTTTACAAAAATGTCTAAGGTTCCAGGAACCAGTGGTGGAGGAGAAACAGGAACGCGTGACATTTCCCATACAAATATTTACCAGACTCCAAGGGCAATGGCAGTAAAATGTCACCCCAGGGTGGAAGTCACGCCTGGCCTGGTGGACGGCCCGTGACTCTTTCTTTACCCGAAGACAGATGCTTTGATGGATGAGCCTGACTCCAAGGTGGGGTGCTGGATGCTTGCTTGCTCTCACAGGGTCACTCCTGGTCTCCCCACTGACTGCCAGGTTCTGCTATTTTTGGAGTTTGCTCTTCCCAGAAGGGAGGCTGCCGCTTGTAGAAACACGTAGAGGTGCATGACAGTCCCAGGCGTCTGAGGACAGCCTTCTCTCCCAGGGACAGACGAAGGAAGGCAGCGGCAATCGGGCTTCATTTCTGTTCCAGCTCTCTACTCATTTCTTGAGTTTAAAAAATCTGCTCTTAGTTCTCTGTTAATAAGAAATGGTGACCACTTCTTCAGCAATGGTGCCCATCTGTCCCTCGTGACTTGAATTGATTTCTCTGGCTGTGTGGTTTTGGAAAAATGATCATACTGAAGTCACTCCATAATTTACATGTTAGGTTAATTCTCTCTCGATTTTCTTTCTTTTTTTTTTTTTTTTGCGGTGCTGGGGTTTGAACCCAGGACCTACACCTTCAGCCACTCCACCAGCCCTTTTTTGTGATGGGTTGGTTTTTTTTTTTTTTTTGAGATAGGGTCTTGCAAAGGCTGGCTTTGAACCTCGATGCTCCTGATCTCTGCCTCCTGAGTAGCTGGGATTACAGGCGTGAGCCACCAGCGCCTGGTTTACCTGAGTTCTCTTAATAGTGAAACAGACTTGTAAAGATTTAGCCATGTGGTCAGATTGTCATCAAATAGGATAGACTCAGCTGTTGGTGGTGATTTTCTCATGGGCAAAGCTACTGGGATTTAGATATATCAAACCCCAGTACTACAAAAAATGAAACAAAAACAAAGGCAGAAATATGGAAAGAATAGGTGACTATTGAAATAACAATTAGGAAACCTAGAACTAAAAGTCAGTGAAAAGAATAAATTATGAACAAATGAAGAAAGAATTAATTGCTGGCTTTGCTTCCTGCTTCCATGGAGCTCTGCCTCACCATGGGCTGGGAAGCAATGGTGCCAAGGATTGTGAACTGAAACCTCTGAAACAGTGAGCCCAAATAAGTAATCCCTCCCTTTAAAAAGAAAAAGGGGGGCTGGTGGAGTGGCTCAGGCGGTAAGAGCACCCGCCTAGCAAGCACAAAGCCCTGAGTTCGAATCCCAGTGCTGCCCCCAAAAAAAGACAATAAAAAGAAATAGAATTGGTGGCTTGGGGGCAGTACTGAGGAAATGGAGTGAATGATCACAGGAACTGGAAGACCAGGGTGAAGGGAAATAAGGGGGTGAACGTCAGAGAAGCGACTCCTGGCATCAGAAGTAAGTGAAAATGGAATCCCACGTAGATAAGAATAGTGAAGCTGCAGAAAATCAGATGTGATGAGAAAAAACATCTTAAAATCCAGCAGGCGTGAAAAATGGACTAACTAGAGATAACTTACCAGAAAGACAAAGGAACGAAATCCTCTGAGGACCGAGGGGTCCTGACCAGCTCCCCGCTGCGCTTGGTCACTTGTGGCCACATAGTGGAGCAGATATGCGGAGCTCCCTTTGGTAAACACTTCTGAACTCCTGGATAAAATAGGTACAACCTGAGTTGAAATCCAGAAAGGAGCTCATAAGACAGTCGGGGAAGTCCTTGAGCCAAAACCAAACCCAACCTCAGTGCAAAGTGGCCCTGAAGTCACCGCCCAGTGGTGAAGTCAGCAATCCCAGTCCCTGGATGTATTGGCTTTCACAGGTTTTGTCTGCAAACAGACAAGTCCAGGGACCAGCAGAGCATCGGGGACACACTGGAGATCCCCATACAAAATCAGACTCTACTCCAGTGAGAAAGCAAATCGGGGGAAAAAACAACCCCAGGAAAACTGTGTTGCCTTTGCATCTGAATGGAAGGAATCAAAAAGACTCCCTGACACAAAGTCTCAAACCCAAGTTGCCATTCATACAGGAACAGAGTCTTTCTATTTACGCCATGATTGAAAGATTAATTCACGTCACGCCATGATTGAAAGATTAATTCACGTCCGTCTCAGCAGAGTGAATCCTGTGGGAAGAATGCATCTTCTTCCCAGACCTTGAAACTCCTACGAAGCCCTGATAAGCAGAGCCCATAACCAAAACTCAAAAAGCCTCACAAGAAACAGTGAGAGTCAGAATCAGGTCCCCAGGACATCGGTGGTGGAGCTGTTGGATGCAGAATGTGAAATAAGTTGGTTGAAACTATTTAAAGGTATAAAGAGGTTGGATCACTTGGCACTTCCACTGTGATTAGTCAGAAATGGTTAAATATTGGCAGTTCATGAAGACTGCAATCCCACGAGGCACGGATCTAACCCCATTTGGTTTCCAAGCACCGTGGCCTTGGGCGACCGAGCTTTGAAACGGATTTTGGTGTGGCGCAGACGTCCAGGCCATAACACGCTCTCTGTGTCGACCTCTTGATTAGGTTGTTTCTACAGTTGTAGGAATTGTGCTTTTATTTAGAATTCGGATTTTAGAATCCCACGCGGTTCTTCCTCACGTTTGTTCTGCGCTCAGGGCTTCGCTCGGTTCATGACACCCATTGCAGTATTTCAGTCCCCTTCTTTACTTCAGGAGGTTAGAAGCCATTTGGGATTCCCCTGTTTCTTGAAACTCCCCAAACTCAGTGACAAAAGCAGCAGGGTCCCGGCCCTTTCTTGAATGGAATTTGGCTCTCAAATGTAGCATTGAATCTATGTTCTTATTAATTCGTGACTTCTTGATACCCAAAGACTAGAGAGGTATTTAAAGTGTTTGAAATTTGAAATACTTCTGCTGCTTCTTCCTGTGTCTGTCACCTCACACGCACACTTGTGTGGGGGATGTTCGTTTCCCATCACTAAAGCAAGCACCTGAGCTGATCAACCTACAAAGAGGAGCATTGATTTGGGGTCACGCGCTCACATTTTGGAGGTCTCGGTCCCCGAATGACTGAGCCCATCCTTCTGGCCTGTGGTGGCTCCAGAGCATCACGGTGGAGGAAGTGGAAGAGATAGGAAAGGGCTGGCGTCTCGCTGTCCCCTTGGAGAGCACGGACCCCGTCCCTGGGACACTTCACCACCTCTTCATAGTGCCACAGTGGGGACATTCCAGGTCCATCTGTACTTATGCTTTGTGTTCTGTATCTGAATCATGAGATTTCCTTCACAAATAAAAATGTTCTTTTTGTCGTGTTTGTCTTTTTTGTGGCACTGGGGCTTGAACTCAGGGCCTACACCTAGGGCCACTCCACCAGCCTTTTTTTTTGTGATGGGTTTTTTTTGAGATAGGGTCTCACAGACCATTTGCCTGGGGCTGGCATCAAACCGCAATCCTCCTGATCCCTGCCTCCTGAGTAGCTGGGATTACAGGCGTGACCACGGCGCTTGGCTTATATTTGTCTTGAGTACTATTATTTTTCATTTCTCCTCTGACTTACAAAAAAACCCCATTTTATTGTAGAAAACTAGAAATGAGGAAAAGTGAAAATTGCCTTCAGTCAAAAATTGCTTTTAGTCTCCCCCTCCCTCTCCCTCTCCTTCTCTTTAGGAGAACTAACTTACTTTTCTGATAACGAATGCTTATTTTAATAAAACTCAGAAGAAATACAGCAGTGATAAATAAAATAAAAATCCTCTCTAAGAGAATGGTCACTATTAACAGTTTCAGACATTTTTTTTTCTGCCTGGATTCTTAAAGGCATAAAAATAGTATTCTATGCTACAACCTATTTTATGACCTGATTTTCTTTTCTGATTAAAACGTATCACAGGGCTGGGGGTATTCGTGCTTGTCTGGGTGCAGTTCCCAGCACCATGTGTGTGTATGTACATGTGTATGTATATATAAAATATATTTCTGTGTCAATTGTATCAATTACTATATATCTACTTTACTTTTTTGTGGCAGTAGTGGGATTTGAACTCAGGGCCTGGTGTTTCCTAGGCAGACATTCTACCATTTGAGCCACACTCCAGGCCTTCTTTTTGCTTTAGTTATTTTTGGATAGGGTCTCCTGTTTTTGCCTGGTGGCTGGTCTTGGACTATGGTCCTCCTACCTAGGCCTCCTCTGTAGCTGATATCACAGGCATGAACCACCACACTTGGTTTTTTTGTGGAGATGGAGTCTTGCTAACTTTTTGCATGGGCTGGCCTCAAACCATGATCCTCCCAATCTCTGCCTCCCAAGTAGCTAGGATTATAGGTGTGAGCCACTGTGCCTGGTGCCTACTTCACTATTTTAATGGCTGCTTGCATGATTCTGAATGGATAGAAAAGTATTTACTTTGCTCTTCTTTGCTTAAACACTTAGGTGAGCTTTCATTTTTTGAAATTTAAATTTTTTCCATGACAAACTTCCCTGGACCCAACATCCTTTTGTGTACATTCTGAGCATTTTACAATGACATCCTTGCGATATATCACTATAGTAACTGGTTAAGAATTCATGGTTTACTGCTGGATGCTAGTGGCTCACACCTGTAATCCTGGCTACTCAGGAGGCAGACAGTGTGGTTCAAAGCCAGCCCAGGCAAATAGTTCACAAGACCCTATCTCAAAAAAAACCCCATCACAAAAAAGGGCTGGTGCAGCGGCTCAAGATGCAGGCTCTGAGTTCAAAACCCCCTCCCGCCAAAAAAAAAATTCTTGTTTACAAAAAAATCCAACATCTGCAAATGAAAAGAAGCAGGGTAAGACATAATCTTTCAGCTGGACAAAGCCCTTCAAGGCGGTGTTCTCCAGCATGGTGTTGGTGTGGGGAACTTGTGCTCTTGTGCTTCTGGGGATGCAATGGGGAGAATCTTCCTTGAAAGCAACTTGGAAATATGAATGACAAAGCAGTGCCCTGGCTTTCCATTTTTACAGGTGTTTCATGAGAAAACATGATTTTCCAAGATCTCACTGGGATCCCATTCTGTATGTGCTGTAAATGCAATCCTAACCTGCAAGAGTTTTCTCAGAGATATTCCAAACAATGAATCCAGGTGCCTGAGGGTTTTCTGACATGTGTTTTGAAGCATTTTGAATTTCTTTTGACACCAACATAAATCATCACTACCCCAGAATCACCTCAAAACCAAACCGAGATTTCACTTTGGTAGACGATGGAGGACGTGCTGGGAAAACCCCCTTTCTTTCCACGCTGGACCTTCCTGAACGAGAAAGCTCTTTGCAGATCTTCCTGACATTTCTTGCCTTTAAATACCACATTTCTGTATTTGAACTGCATGTGTTGTTGGAGAACCTGTGGCTGTGGAGTGGGAAGTCTAGAAGCTCAGAGAAGGATTTGACATTGTCCATGCTTACTTTCCCCATCTTTTTAATACAGGTGGCACGTGGGCTCCTGGGGGCCCTGCTCAGCTACGTGTGGAGTTGGAATCCAGACCCGAGAGGTGCACTGCTTGTCCCTGGACGGCTCCCCGCCGCCTCCCGAGGCGTGCAGACAGGGGAAGCCTCATGCCTTGCAGGCCTGCAATCAGTTCGATTGCCCCCCCGGCTGGCACATTGAAGACTGGCAACAGGTATGGCACGCTGGTGGCCCCGTGGCCCGCCATGCTTGCGATGGTGAGGAGTTCTGCTTTGCACTCACACAGAGCAACTGCATCCAGGCCTCACCTGCTCTTGTCTTCTTAGTGCTCCAGGACCTGTGGTGGGGGAGCCCAGAACCGACGAGTCACCTGTCGGCAGCTGTTGACGGATGGCAGCTTCTTGAACCTCTCCGATGAACTGTGCCAAGGGCCCAAGGCGGCCTCTCATAAGTCCTGTGCCAGGACAGACTGCCCTCCACAGTTGGTGGCAGGAGAGTGGTCAGAGGTAAGGCCCCCTCTGCTTTGCACCCCTTCTTTTCTGGTCCTTCGTGGTTGCAGCCTGCGGCTATGGTGAGATGGGTAGGAGGCCTAGGGTGCAAAACGGAGGAAGGTGTGGTCCACACTGCCGGCTCTGAGCAGAGGGTTTCCCAGTGCTCTCTGTCCCACCTGGAAGCCCCCAGGTACGACAGCGGGTGTAATGGAGTTAATTAAAAGTTAGCAGAGGGAAATACAAAAGGCCATGGTGGGCCTGGTGGAAGCCGGAAGCAGTCTTTCTCTTTTCTGGTGCTTTTAAAACTCCTGCTAACCCATGTTTCTCTTTTTTCTTTTATGTTTTTTTCTACTACAAAATCAGAGAACAAGAGGGCGGAATGGGGGGGCATGGGGGTGGCACCAGTGGGAGGGAGGATGTGGGGAGGAAAGGGGGAGGAGGGTGGGTACGGTGCAAATAATGTGTACCCATGTATGCAAATGCAAAAATGATCCCTTTGAAACTGTTCCAGGAATCAGGGGAGGGGGGTGAAAGAGAGCAGTGGAGTGGGGCATTCAAGTACAATATATTTGATACATTGTAACAACCTTTGTAAATGCTACAGTGTATCCCCACCCAGCACAACAATAAAATAAACAAAACAACAACAAAAACTCCCACTTACTTATGGGAAGGGAAGAACCTGCTGATTCCCAGCCAGTAATGGGTGAGCGGGGAGAGACAGGAATGGTCCCAGGGCCAGGTGGGGTGGTTTGAGATGTCCCTAGCAGGGTGTGGGTAATCTACACACGTTTGCAATTGAGAAGAAGGCTCAAAAGAGGAATGTTCCATCTGAAATACAACACTAAGTCACAGAAGTTCTCTTTCCCTAAGTCCAGCCCGCCTCAGGTACTCGCTCACTCACTCAGCCGTGCGGTTGTGGACTGACTCCTCGCCCAGGCCTAGCACCATGACTCACTTTCAGCTTTGCCTCCGTATGAGTAAAGCTGTTCTCGTCATCTCTCTCCCAAACCATTCACTGCTTTTGGAATTACCAGCGTCATGGTTCCCAGGATAAACTCAAAGTCAGCTTGAGTTTTCCCCTCTTCCTTGTGACCCTCATATGGAATTGTTCGTGATATCTTGTCATGCCAACGTCCCAAACATCTTCCCTACTTTTATTTGCTCTACAATCTGTGGCCACCATTGCTCGTTTTACCTTCATCATCACAAACGTGGATTATGGCAGGAAGTGGAATCTGGTCCCTGTTTTAGTGCCTGCAGGACTTGATGCAGTCTGGTGAGGACATGTCTTTTGTAGGTGTGGGGAATGAAACTCCAATAGTGTGTGAGCTGCCTAAGTTCCCAGCACTGCACTGGAGGTGCAGGGCCATTGCTTCTGACTTAACTGCAAGGCTTCTCTCTCCTGTCTCCACACTCTGGCAAACGGAGGTATCCCCGTCACTCTTTTCCCTTAGTCAGCTCGGCATCTCCTGAGGGCCTTCCTCCTTGCACACTCAAGTGCAAGTTCAGCAGCACGCCTGCAGGGCCTTTTCTGACCTGATGGCACGCGTGCACACACAGGTCATTATTCTCATGACAGCCCTTGTTCTAGCAGTGAACAAGTCTAGCACTGGTGGATAACTCAGTTCTTAAGTCCAGTGAGAGAATAATTCAGCCAGATGTGAAAATAGTGAAATGGTGATAAAGCTTGTGAGGAAAGGATAGAAGCTGTCAGCATCGGCTTCTAAGATGGGCTCCTGGGCCTGGGTCTACAGATTCCTGTGTGGAATCCTCTGTCCTCGATCTGTCTGTCTGTGTGAAATCCTCAGTCTTAGGGTCCTCAGCTGCCTAGGGAGCAGTTCTTGGGCCTGACAATTTGTCTTAGAGTCACCTGTGAGAAACTCCAGCCCTAGGCCTCCCTGAAGTTTGGGGTTTGGCTTACTCTTCAGCAAAGAAAGGATTAAGCTTTGGGTGAGTGGCTGACTTCAAAGCATCCTGTGATGTCCCTCAGCCCTGATGGGCACTCTGATCTGGCAGAGACTGGCACCTGGAGCTGGGGAGTTTCGTTGCAATGATTTTCTCTCTTGTGGCCATTGCTTATGTCTGACAAGCCACCTCTCAGGGGCCGGTCCTGCTGCCTGCCCCAACATCTGCAAGCTGAAGCTGAGGTTTCAGAACCGGATAGCTCTTATCAATGTCTTCCTGTCCTCACAGCCGCCAGTGTCCGTCTTCTGCAGGGCCAATTTCAATATCAGAAATCACCTCAAGATCAGAGGTTCACACAAACCGAAGTCTTTTGACTCAAACAGGCCTCTGCTGGAATCTAGCTGCACAGCCTGTACGCTGGGTGTCCTGTTCCGCGTGCCTGACCTCTCTGAACCCCCATCTTCCTTTCTGTAAATGCCTCAGTATTGTGAGGCTAACATGATGGGCATCTAGCACAGTCAGCCTCCCCACCTCCTCGAAGGAAAGTCACACTTCTGGCCAGGGGTCGGACTGACAGTACTTCTGTAAACAGAGTCCACATTCGGATTTTTCTTTTAACTGTCTAGTTCAATTAAAGTGCTAATATTTTAAAACTGTCTTAAATTAAAAAAGACAAAAACCCATAAGGTCATAGTCCTTATCCTGCTATCTGACGGTCTACATAAATGTTTCCTTAAGCCCTTGGAAAGTACTCAAGAAAAGGAATGGGCCCTTGTCTCCAGGGTCTGCAGAGCAGGCGTTGCGTCAGATCTGGTCACCGTCCCCTACACTTCTGTCCAACTCATAAGTTGCTGCAGACCGTCCAGGGGCCAGGGCTGTCTCCCTGAGTTGCCACACTCTAGGACAGTGGCAGGAGGAGCAAGAAAACTGTGTCCTCCCACAGTGAGGACGAGCAAGGCTGCTCCAGGTGACAGGCTCTGAAAGCTCGGGTGAGGAAGGACAGGTAGCAGATGGCCCTGTTGAGGTGGTTTGTTCAGCATGAGCTCCTGCAGCTCCTGGGATCAACTGCCCACCCACTCCTTAAGGACAAAGTATTTGCAAAGAAAAAAGACCTTTCAAAACCAGTGCCCATAACTAGTGGAAAACCAAAGGACCCCAGCCCACCCCTGCAAATCCTGCACAAGGTGACCTTCATCTCTAGAAGCGTCTCCAACCTTCTGTCCAATATCACATCCCAGCTGTCCATGTGGGATAGGCTCTCACTACGGAAAAGCAAAGGGTCAGCCTCGTCACCACATCCTAACAACTCCTCTCTTTTCTCTTCTCTGTCAGTACACCACCATCTTTCCAATAGTCGTAATCATGTCTGACTTTCTCACTTCCTGTGTTCAGTTGTCTACACCTTCCAACTCTGCAATTCTTGAAATACATCCAATAAAAAAAGAGAAAATTCATGAGAAAAATTTTACAAAGAGCATGTCTCAGACATAGGAATTCAAGTGTCGTTCCAGTTTTCAATAGGTTTATGAATTCTGACTCATGAAGGTAGCCTTGTTTAGGAGCTAATTCATCCTGGCTTGTGAGAACAACTATAATCTCCTCCCAACTCCTGCTCAGTGAAACTGGTTCATAGTTTGAAATCAGCCATAATGGTAATAGTTAGGTCACAGAAAATGTCAAAACAAGCAGGGATTTTTCTCCCAAGAGCCCTTTGTGAAACATGAGATTGACACTGCATGAAAGGGTTATTTCTCTCTCTCTCTCTCTCTCTCACTCTCTCACTCTCTCTCTCTCACACACACACACACACATTTTACTCATGGTGCTTAGGTACAATTGCCCTCAAGAAGTTCCAGTTTTTGGAATCTTTGTTACAAAGTCTAAGCAGCTTTGGTTTGGCTTCTCTAGTACGTTTTAAATCTTTATCTTCATAATTGGTACCTGGTGGTGTCAGGAAATTTCTGTCATCTGGAGGCAGTTCCATTCCATCAGTCATTATCCTGCAGAGTTAGTTTGGTCCTAATCCAAGGTCTTTGATCCAAATGCATTACCTATTTGTTCAAATACTCCTTCCATTAGTAAAGACTATTCTAGCTCTCAGTGTTTATTCTAAAACCTTCCTTTCACTCTCTTATTATGAGTTCTTGTCAGTAATCACTCTGTAGATAACCACTCTTCTTCTTAATAACAGTGTCTTTTTAGACTCAACCTGACAGCTTACTCTTATATTTTGACTCATTCAAAAGTATAACCAGTGCATTCAAATCCATGCATTTCTGAGTGCTTCTCTCTCTCTCTCTCTCTCTCTCTCTCTCTCTCTCTCTCTGAGTGGATTTTATTTTCCTGACTACATTTAGTTGCACAGAGGAAGGGCCATCTGTGCACTTCTGTATCTCACTTACTGCTTGACAAACACTTGCTGGCGGGAACGAAGAGGCTTACAAAGCTTCATCTATGGGGAAGTTCCTCTGTCTGTGACTGCGTGCTAACAATCCTGAGAACAACACACATTGACTGAACCTCTGTGCAGACGACCCCAGGCTCTAGGAATCAGAGACAACAGTGTCTTCAGGAAGCTCACAGTTTATTGAGGCCCACAGATAAAATAACATTTACAACCATGTTTTAAAGAGCCCAATAATGGTGTCCCATAAACAGAACTATGGACAATTAAGGGGAAACATCTACATCTGCCTGGACGTTTGTTTGAGTTGATGAAATTGAACAAAAAACCACAGAAGCATGTCCTATTTTCTGTCCGGAAAGCTAGTGGGATGGTGCAGCGCGGATTTTTTAAAAATATTTAAGAATGGAGCAGATGCAGAAAGGCATTGGAAAGGAGAGAAGGTCGGCTTGATTCTGAACTACGTTGACGTGAAAGTCTGTTAAAGGCGTCTGTTAGAGACTTTGCTAGCTTCAGGAGGGGACTGCAGTAGTTACTTATGCAGGGAGTTCACATGGCCAGGGGTGTGAGGACCACGAAGACCTGCCATGGAACCCAACGGTTGAGTATTGACAGTCATTCCTCCACCAAGTTACTACAAGGCTTCCTGTTCCAGCCTAGTTGTTTAGTATCCTCAGTTACACACACACACACACACAGAGAG